CGAGTATTCCTCTGTTACAGTAGAGCGACAAGGGAATGCTCGACTGTAGTTGGTTGGTTCTTACATTCTGATCCAGATTAAACCCTCGGTGGAAACTAGACTAGTGTTGGTCATCGAATGTTGAATAAAGATAAAAGATACTTGGAGTGAGAGTCAAGTTTTGGAACGCACTTTAGAGTGCATTTTTGCTATAATATATGTAACGTAACCTAGCTTAGAGTTATCTGGGCGTAATTTCTGAACGCGTAGTCCAGAAAAATTCTTCTGAACGCAAACTATATTCGTTACTTTCTTAGACTTGTTTACGATTTGCAGAAAGATTTCTACGCATTTCGCTCTTTGCCCGCTTGGTCGAAAATTCGATTATTTCGTCGACGATCGCTATTAAATTAGAAGAAAAGAAGTTCCACGCACTTCTATAAAATTGCTAAAATCATAAGAAAAATAAGAGGACTTATTTATGCATTTGTCCGTACGATTGTTAAGTGATTCATTGTGAAAGATTCTCAATCTAAAATGGCAAAATCTGAAATGAATAATGAGGTGAGATATATCAAAATGAAGCACAAATTATCTGTTGACATTCGTTTTTACTAAGGTACGATATTTATACTATTGATCTTTATATTTTCAGTTCATCCTTCTACGACATGCAGTTCGTCAGGCACGAGTTTGCATAGTCAATAAGCTCATCAAGGAAGCTAAACTCTTACGGGATAGACATGGAAACGAAGCACAAAAGGAAAAGTGTACAAGGAAAGCTGACAAGCTGATTGACGAGGTTTATGCACTAAAGACAATTAAAGACGACGATATTTCAAAATTTGGTCTCTTAGATGAGAGAAGTCTGACTAAAATATTACAAGATCAATCATCAAGTAGTAGTGTTCGCATAATGGCAAGAGTGACGAATTATAAAACTCTAAATAAAAGACTAACACAGTTTAAGGAGAGATTCCCAGACTATAAGCATTTAACAGAGAAGAAGAAGACTACAAAATTAAAAAACAAGAATACTGTGAAAACTAGGAAAGTTAAAGAAAATAATTCTCAGAATAAGAGTTCAAAGAAACAAAAAGTTGTCGCTGACAAAAACGTTGAACAACCCCAACATGACTCCGAAGATGAGGAAGCATGTAAGAAGGAATTATCTGAAGTAAGGAGTAATTCGCGCAAGCGCAAAAAGACATTGGCTGAAGATTGTACATCCTTGAAAAAACAAAAATCACTAAAACTTGGAAAAGATAGTACATCAGAAACTACATCAGTCACAGATAAACAACCAAATGTAATTAAACCATCAAGCATTACAAAAGAAGCAAAGGTGAAGAGGTTCACTGAGCTGTTGGAGGAACAAGAAACTAATCAAGACGCACAGATGTCTACCGAAAGCCAAGATTCCGCAGGTACTGCGACTGAACAAGCAAAGGTGGTTGACGACTTCTTCATGACGGCGGATGGTCAAAACTATCAAGGGAGCAGTGCTTCGACGTCGTACACAAAATCTCATAGACATAATACACGAGCCAAACTTCTCCAATTGAATGATCGAGTTAAAAAGCAAAATGTAAATCACAAAAACGATACAAACTTAAATAAAAAACCTCCGGGTAAACAATCTTTTTCTATGAAATCCAAGAAAATGACACCCAACAAGATTAATAACAGGACAAATAATAGTAACACAAATAGAAATACGATTGTTAATAAAAAAGATGACAATGTCGATTTACATCCTTCTTGGATGGCTAAGAAAAAAGAGCAGGAAATCATGAGTAAAGGATTTCAAGGCAAAAAGATTGTATTTACGGATGATTAGTCGAAATAGTTTACTGTATGGAACAAGGAATTTACTTAATCAAAAACCTTTTGTAAAGTGCTTTTCAAACTTGCGATACATTCGTCATATTGTTTTAACAAAAATGTATACATATGTACATTTATCTTCAAGTGTAATACATTTATTTAATGTAAATAGCGTCATATGTTATGTCTTCTTTCCTAAATAATTTGTATATTTTTATTTAATAAAATGCAATTACAATCATACATTTTATTCGTACATAACATGGTCTTCTGTATACAAAATATATCGTAAATATGTGTTGTAATAACATATTTAAAAATAATGTCGAAAAAATAAAACTATTTAAAATGATCAGGTAAAGAAGACATTCAATTTAATATTTAATCTAATTCATTAACAACATTAAATATTGATCAGTCAATGAATATTTAATCTTTTTTCATAACATAATGCAGAAAGGAACAAATGTTCTTGTTCATACATTTTGCATTGATTTCATAGACTTAATGGACGTAAGATTACTGAGTTTCTACGACAAAGATGAAACTCGAAGTATACGCGATTTGAAAAGGATTCGTATTAACAAGAATTTTCGCATCACTTGTTTTTCGAAAGAGTGCGTTGTTTTTCAGCATGCGTAACTAATTGGGAGTCCACAGGAAGGCCTTTTCTTCGACGAACCGCATCCATGTAGCATTTAGCTCGATTATCGCTGTCCGCCTTTTCACCAAAATGGAGGTATTCTTCCTCCGTGGATGGCACCCAGTAAGGATCCTGTTCGATTACCTGTAACGCAGGAATATTATGTTACGTTTAAGGGTTCGTTTGAGCAATTAAAATATTAATATAAATTTTTTTTAGAAAAGAAAATTTTTCAAAATTGTCATGGATTCTTTAATTATATGTCTTTATATATTTTATTAAAAATATTAAAGATATATAATAAAAAAAAAAACATTCAACACGTTGCTTAGAGTTTTAATCATTATTTTAGAATTTCTAAGAATATCTCAAATTTATGAACACTTTAATTCACAAGAAAACGCGCTTACCTCCCAATGACTAAAAACTAGTTGCGGACTAGCTAATCCGGACGTTTGCGTCCGTAGTTCTCTTGCGAGATGGAAGCTCTCTAGAACCGGTAGAGTGGCCAATACTCTGAATTGTCCACCGAAGCCGTAAGCACTTTCCGTAGATATGATCCGGCCTTGTCTTTTACCGAACACAGCATACAATCTCCCTGCAAGAACAGTCATCATCAATTGTTGATGTCTCAGCATGAATATCGGTAATATCGCGATGCAGAGACAACCGTCTCTGCATTGCTCTAGCATTTCTTCGCGACATTCCTCTTACGGTATCCTTGTACTTTTAATAATAATAAATATCTCCGAGCTTATTCCAGTGCGCGACAGCACTCTACAATATGTTTTCGTACAATTTCATCTTAAGAATACAAAGACAACCGCGAATACTTGGATACGAGAATCAGACCTTCAAATGATTAATTTTTGAAGAAGCTTACGTAATGGTATTGTTCTAGATAGTTAACATCTTATCGTAATACATAAAAAAATCTTGTAAACATCAAAAAAGATACGAGATATGAAACACTTGCAAGGATAAATTTCGAGAAATCAGCTAAAAAATACAGCTTACCTTTCATAAAGATAAAGAATAATCATAAAAACGCTCTGATTTATTCGAAAAGATAAAATGTACTATCTGATGAAAAAAAAGATAAAATGTATTTCTAGTATTTCTAGTAAATCTAGATATCTAGAGGAAGAAAAACAAGAGCGAAAAAGAGGCTGAGGAAAAAGGAGAAAGAAGGAAGATACGAGATTCGGAATCGCGCGAGAAACGAGGTAAACGCATTTAGGTACGATCGGAAGATCGTTGGGGAAGGGAAATCGTTGGCGAAAAACTGGCTCGCTGGTAAAAGCGCGAGGGAAGAGAGAAAAGGATCGTGGAACACAGAATGTGCAGAAAACATAGCGGATAATGGCAAAACAGAACGCGCGCGCGCGAAAGCAAACGGGCCGGCCTCCGGAGAAAGAGTAAAACACTCGTTAATACGCTCCCGGGGAGAGCGGAGAGGAATGCACGCTTCGTACGGAGCGCCCGTGGAAGAGAGGATGCGATACAAGGACAAACGGCAAACGGCGACGAGTCCCGAGAAAAAAACGGCGACGATGAAAACGTTCGGTGAGGAGAGATAGAGAGGAGCCCCGGATAGAGAGTAGTAGTGGGGATGACGTAAGAGCCAAGGGACAGAGTGGAAGAAGGCGGGAGGGGGGGGGGCGAGAGGGAGGAGGAGGCAGGAGCAGTCAAGAATGAGAAGAGAATGAGGAGGGGGGGGGAGATGCCAGGGTGAGGCGCGGGAGGGAGGGACGGGAAGGGCGAAGGAAAAGGGGTGGGGGCATCCATTCATGCTTTACTTCTGGCTTTTAAGAGTCCAGTCGAGCGGACGGCATACCTTCGCATAGGTCGATCTCGTCGGTAGACGTTCTGTTTCTTCTCGAGTTTCTTAGCGATCGCGCCTTCCTGTTTCTCGAGAGGATCTCTCTCCAGATCTCGCAGGATCCGAAAAAGAGGAAGTATCGCACGGAGACGTATCGAACGAACGGATCAGCGACGGACAGACAAGAGATTTCGATCGGCGAGAGTGCGCGAGTGCGATCAAACGCTCTATCAAACTGAAGGCTCCCCTGAAGGCTCCCCTCTCTTTCTCTCTCCAAGATCGGTCGATCAGGCTCGGGGAACCGTTTCTTTCGCGTCTCTGGAATCGCGAGAGGAGGAGGATAAGAGGAGATCGCGGTAAACAAAGACACGTGACACATCCTGCCTTCGTAAGCTGAAAGAAAAAAGAATTGCCAGATCTAACGAGACTTTCCGTACGAGGTCCGAATTGTGCGAGTTTCCAGCGAGTAGATTCTGGCCCGTAGAATCTGCGAATTCGGGGAAAAGGTACGTGTCAGTCGATTCCCCTCGGGACGAGCGATCGAGATTCATCGCGAAGCGATCGGAAAAAAAAAAAAACTCCTGCTCCCTCTCCTCTCCGATGATCGATCAATGAGAAGAGTCGCGTTGGTGAGATTCACGAAGATGGACTTCAAGTAGCAGTAGCGGACGACCGGCGAGCCTTCGAGTTTTCTTGATCCGTGTTGTATCTCTGCTATGAGTATTCCCTGAGTATTCCTCCTCCCGCTCGTTCTGAACGCCTTGTCGCGCAAATAAGAAGGTGAACGTATCGGAACCCCCTACCATTCTTTTTATTGCATCCCCCCACCTGGGAGTAAAACACCTAACGCAGCAAACGTTCCCTCCGGAGAGAAAGAGAAAGAGAGAGAGAGAGAGAGAGAGAAAGAGACACACACAAACAGGCGATCGCCATTTTTCTCGACCGGGATTCTTTATCGGGAAGAACTTTGCTGTGCTTGCTGCGACACTGCGACACGATGACCGGTAAAACAATACAGCACCTGCTGTACACCCTGTTGGTGATCGTCGGAGTCGTCCGCCGGAGCAAATGCGACGTTTTCGATCTGCCGGTGAGAATCGAGCACGACGAATACCTCAAGGAGTATTTGTTCATCGACGAAAGCAAGTATCACGCTGACCTGCAGGAATTCGACGACACAACGGTCGAGATAGATCTGATCAATCGTAACCGGAAGCACATTCTGTCGCACGAGGAACCCAGGGTGCTATACCAAGTCGGGGTAAGCCACTCCCCCACGTCAACTTCGTCAATTTTTTTTGTTGTCATTTTTCAATCCTTAAATTATATAACCCATGTATATTACAACTATACAGGGTGTCCCTTAAGTAAGGTCGGAGCCGCATTGGGGGCGTACAATGGGTCAAAGGAAGCAAAAAAGTTTTATCCATCATTTTGCAATTTTCGCAATAGTTAACAAGATATTAATTAAAAATGACCGAATATTTGGTCTTTTATCATTTTTTTTCTCAAATATACTATCAACTTTACAGAAAAACCTGTAAGAGACAAAAATTGTTTATTTTCTTCTCATAAAGTTCTGAGAATTTTTTTCAGAATTTTTTAATACTGTATTTTCTCATGATAATAAAAATAAGAAAATGCAGTACTAAAAAGTTGATAAAAAATTCTGAAAAAAATTCTCAGAACTTTATGAGAAGAAAATAAACAATTTTTGTCTCTTACAGGTTTTTCTGTAAAGTTGATAGTATATTTGAGAAAAAAATGATAAAAGACCAATATTCGGCCATTTTTAGTAATTAATATCTTGTTAACTATTGCAAAAATTGCAAAATGATATAAGACTTTTTCGTTTTTGTTGACCCATTCTACGCTCTCAATGCGGACCTCCGACCTTACTTAAGAGACACTCTATATGTGGTTTCCTATTTTCTAATTCATTATATATATATTACGTAACTATTACGTAGCCATTGGTATAAATATGTTGAACGACTAGCTGACTGATACGCGTAACTGACTTACTGTCCATTTCTGCCAATTAACTTTAATCTTAGTTGAAATTTTTAGAACTAAAAAAAAATGAAGAGTTAGCTGAACCGCGCGGAGATTAAAATTAAACTATGTTACATTAGTAGAGAAATTGATATTAATGTCGTGCGTTTAAGCACGTTCAGTAAACGAAAGTCAATACTTTATATAAGCCATACGAATTGCAGCGTCAATGTCGCATCCCTTTACTTTTCTGCTCTTTTATTTTCAATGGAGCACATTATTTCTCAAATCTTTTTCTCATATCGACTTTCCTCCTTTAAGACTACGTTACTCGCTCTATTAAGTTCCCCGAACGAATTAGCGCTTAAATTGCTCCAGAAAGCGGCTAAATGTTTAGCGACCTAATCCCGACGAATCCATCTCGTCGAGCCACGCAATTGAATCGCCGAGAATATGAATGGGTGGAGAGAGATCTCGTGTTATTTCTCTCTCGTGATCTCCGTTCGTCGGATCCTTCGTGATCTTTAGACCGCTAAATTCTCTCTTCGATGGATTTTCCTCAACAGATGTTACGTTTCGATTTTCAACAAGTTTCAGATCGTGCGTTACGAAGCCTCGGTGCCGGTACCTGCATATATCTCTCCGACGATATACATACATACATACATATATACGTATATATATATACATACGTTCATACATACATGCATACATACACATTCATATATACACATTCATACATATACGTTCATAC